AGTCTTCCCTTCTGGTTGTCCTAGACCAGTCCAGTAAGTTCATTCAAGTAGATATCAGTTTAAAGGCTCTATTAAAGAATAATAGCAAATGCTTTAATAGCCTTAAAGACACAGGTGTTCCATGGGGTAGCATGGCATAAAGAACACAGGGATTTGATGTTGGCCCTGCCACTACTGAGTAGAATGATGTTGGGCAAATCACTGGAGTTCTCTGGGCCAGTTTCCTTATCTTAACAAAAGAACTTCTCACAAGCAAGATAATCTCTAAGGTCTCTACCAAAAGAAAGATTGTTTCTCTCTTTTCATTTTATGGTTAGTTTTTAACCCATAAGGTGTTTTTAATCTCACAGATAAAGTTTCACCAACTCATGAAAATCACAGCAATCAGTGAAGGCAATTTAAAAGTGTAGGCTTATACACTGCATTCTGCAGAGATGGTACCCATGGATATTAAGTTAGCTTGACCTTTTAAAGAAACTCTGCCCCTCCTACTCCAAATTTATTATAAAGATAATAATATTCAAGACCGTCTTGGCCAACATGGTGAAACCCCATCTCTACTAAAAATACAAAAATTAGCTGGGTGTGGTGGCCCACGCCTGTAGTCCCAACTACTTGGGAGGCTGAAGCAGAATTGTTTGAACCCGGGAGGCAGAGGCTACAGTTAGCAGAGATTGTACCACTGCACTCCAGGGTGGGTGACAGAGCGAAACTCCATCTCAAAATAATAATAATAAATAATAATATTAATAGTTGTTTCTATAATAGAAACAACCCAAATATTAAATACCAGGGATTCAGTTAAATAAATCATGATACATCGTGTTGGTAGGATACTATACTTTCTGAAATTATGCGTAGGAACACTTAATTACATGGCAAACCATGGGAAATAAAAGCATTCACAGGGTTTTGTGCCTTAGTTGTAAAAGCTATATATGTGTGCTTAAATAGGAAAAAAAAAAAGATTCAGATTCCTATTTCATTAAAAAGAAAAACAGATTCTTGGATCATCATGGCGGATGGGAGGCGGGGCTAGGATGCAGCTCTGGAGAGAGCAGCGTGCAGAGGCTCACGTCATGAATTTTACCTCCAGATTGACTGCAAGAACAAACCAGCAATCCTGAGAAGGCCCACTGAAGGCAGTGAACTGCTCCTGCAAGACCCGAGGGTCCCCTCAAGTATTTTCAGAGCCCCAACTGCAGAAGTGGGAAAGGGAGACTCTCCTCTCCGGAACACACACCCCCACCGGAGAAGCTGAAGGTCTGTTTGTGGGAGAAGTTTCTGACTTTACCTGGAGCTGAGTCAATCTGGAGAGCCAAGTGAAATACAGGAGTAGAGAATGCAGCAGAAAAAGCCTGGGAGCTCCTTGGGTGCCCTCGCAGCTCATTCCTGCCTGGCACCGCAGGGATCCATCCCGAGGGCACCCAGAGAAGCAGGGGCTAAAACGCCACAGGGAGAGGGAACTCTCTAGCGGAACGCTGTAACAATTTGAACAGGGTGAGAAGCCTTCTGGCCGGACCTCAGGGTAGGGCACAGATCTGGTGCGCAGACTCCGTAGGCGGGGATAGAACCAAGCCCTCTTCGTTCCCAGCTGGGAGGCAATAGCCTCGTGCAGATTTTCAAGCCCCTCTAGCCCTCCGTCTGGAAACAGAGACTCAGGGCTGGTGGTGAGGAGGCACAGTGGGGGTGAGAGCAGCCTTTTGATTTGCGTGGGAGCTGGGTGAGGCCTGTGACTGCCGGCTTTCCCCCTCTTCCCTGACAACCTGCATGACTCAGGAGAGGCAGCCATAATCCTCCTAAGTACACAATTCCCGGTGACCTGGGAATCTCACCCCTATCTCCAGCAGCAGCAAGACTTGCCCAAGGAGAGACTCATAGACGGTTCACATCACAGGTCTCTGTGCAGACAACCCCCAGTATCAACCTGGAGCCAGGTTGATTCACTGGGTGACTAGACCCAGAAGAGAGACAATAATCTCTGCAGTTCGGCTCACAGGAAGCCACATCCACAGGAAAAGATGGAGCGTACTACATCAAGGGAATACTCCGTGGGACAAAAAAATCTGAACAGCCTTCGGCCATAGATCTTTCCTCTGACAGTGCCAACCCATGTGAGAAGGAACCAGAAAACAAACCCTATTATTCTAAGTGAAGTAACTCAGGAATGGAAAACCAAACATGGTATGTTCTCATTGATATCTGGAAGCTAAACTAGGAAGATGCAAAGCCATAAGAATAAAACAATGGACTTTGGGGACTTGGGAGAAAGAGTGGGGTGGGGGGCAAGGGATAAAGACCATAAATATGGTGCAGGGTACACTGCTCAGTGATGGGTGCACCAAAATCTCACAAGTCACCACCAAAAAACTTACTCATGTTACCAGGTGGTATTTGGTTACATGTGTAAGTTCTTTAGTGGTGATTTGTGAGAATAACATTCTTGTCTTTTTTTCTTTTTGGGGAAAGAAAAAAGACAAGAATGTTAATAGTTGCTTTTCCCGAGTTGTGGATTAAATAAATGTTTCCAAGGCCCAACTGAAAACACATAAGAGGTAAGAGGGAAGTGGTGAGGATGTGGAGAACGAAAGCTCGTGTCCCCGTCAACAGCATTCAATGTACTTTTAACACTAGGAAGGCCACACAAAATGGTTGGTCAGCTTAATGGTCCCTGGATTTTGTGACTGTTTTCCTCCTTGTGCTTTTGGATCCTGCAGATGTTCTTTTTGTATTTCTGTAGTAACGATGTAATAATTTTGTAAACAGATTTGTTTAAAAACTCAAACATGGCCGGGCACGGTGGCTCACACTTATAATCCCAGCACTGTGGGAGGCTGAGGTGGGTGGATCACGAAGTCAGGAAATCGAGACCATCCTGGCTAACATGGTGAAACCCTGTCTCTACTAAAATACAAAACACTAGCCGGGCGTGGTGGTGCGCACCGGTAGTCCCACCTACTCGGGAGACTGAGGCAGGAGAGTCACTTGAGCCCGGGAGGTGGAGGCTGCAGTGAGCTGAGATCGTGCCACTGCACTCCAGCCTGGCGACAGAGCAAGACTCCGTCTCAAAAACAAAAAAGCCTCAAACATTTACATTAGTAAGATTCTGAAAAAGACCTTTATTTTTAGGTTACATTATTTTACGCAGGAGGAAAATGGGGCAAGGTTTTGACAAACTTGTGGTATTAATGAAAATCTGGGTCTCACAAACTAAGGCAGAAAAGATCAACATCCTTTTATTTAGGCCGCAAGCCATGGTGGCAGAAGGGTTTATATTGTAATATAAGGGTTTATAATGTAATAGAAGTTTTACAGTGCTGTCCAAGGTGTACCACTTATGTGTGGAGGCCTAAGCAATCTTGGTATCTACAGTAAGTAACTGAGGAGGTGAAAGCGAATATTTTAGTGAAATGAACAGGAGAGGCTACATAGATGGGCAAACTTTACCAGTGCAGATGGGATGGTGAGAAATAAGAAACTAGGGCCTGGCTCTGGTTGTTGTTCAGGCTAAAACCAGGTAAGTTAAGACGGGAGGACACCCAGCTGTAGATATGCATGGGACACAAGAGCCAGGACACTCAGGACTGACACAGGCTGTGCTACCATCAGCCACTTATTCATGAGTTTGCTCAGAGGTCCTGGAAGGTAAGTTGTGAATGTATACAGTGTGTTTAACACTTTCACATATCTTTACACCCAGGTGAAATGAACAATATTCCCCACCTTTATCACCAATGACACAGGTTAGGTGGTTAACAAACCCAGGTCTAACTTCAAAGCCTGTGCAGGACCCTCCCCGGGGCTGGAGACTTAGTTATTAACCCTTTAAGCCTAAAGAACATGCTTTTCCCACTTCTCTCACATCCCCATTCTAATAGAACAGGCATCAGAGAATGCACCTCATGCCTTAGAAAGCTACACAAATAATCAACAATCCCTAATTCATAAGAATGTCTGCAGTTTAATTAGGGAGGCATAAGCCTTATTAGTTGACTAAAAAAAAATTAGAGCTCTTAACTGAAGACAACTTCTCAGTAGTTGTTTATTTATTTATTCATTTATTTAGGTAGTTTGATGGGTACATCTTTGCAAAGGGTTGACTTATAAAGACATACACTGAGTTTACAATTTGTAGCTCAATATATCTTCAAAGAAAATGGTGGCTGTTAGTTATTAAATAAAACAAGCATTCGTTCCTGCCATTTTAATACGTGCAGGGTAGGAAACAGAATAGACAGTTGTGAGACTGTCATGACATCCATGAACTTTAGAATGCAATTAACCCATGGAAGCAGTGACAGTCAATGCAGCCCCACTCCCACCCGTGAATTGTCTTTTTTCCACAGGAAACATCAAACCTCCCCAAATATAATCCTCTAGGCAGAGGTCACTTATTAAATTCACAAAGCAGGTGCAAAAAAAGAAAAAAGAAATTGAGACAGATGAAATAATTGAAAAATTCTATTTATTAAAATTCAAGTAGCTAAACTACCTCCTAGGTGAAATCAGTGAAAACCCTCACACACTGCTCATTTAACCTTATTTCAGTCAAAACTCTAACATACTTTCCATCTGGTTTCCATTTTTCAGCAAAAGCAAAAAAAAGTTAGATATGGTCAAGTATTAGCAGCGAAAGAAAAATAGCTACAAAGTGGCAGCTGTCAGGAAAAAGGGAAACAGCTACAAATCCAAGTAGAACTAGAAAACAGCCGTGAGAATGTGGAAAAGCTACCAACCTCTCACTTTTATAGAGCCACAAAGGAATCACTGTGTAACTGATGTTCTTAATGACGATTCCAAACTATCAAGGTTATACTGTATTTGGAATAACTTAATGTAGTAAAGTCTCTAGTACATATCAGAAATATTTTTATTCAAAATTAAAAAGTGGTATGTTCAAAAAGATAAGCTTTTGTTAGTTGATAGATTTCCTCACAAGTCATGTTGAGCCTCATTCTTCAACAGCACAGAATAAGCCAATTTTATACAAGACACAGATATATGAAAACATAAATAACTTTAGTGATTTATGGTAAATAAAAAGGAAGCTTGAATCTGTGATTGAAAAATAAAAATAATTACATATATTTCTACAGAGAAAATACAATCACAAGTTTCAAGAGCTTAACACAAACTAACTGCTGTCAAAATAAATATTTAAAGAAAGCAAAGATGAAACTGCTTAATAGTCAGGGGAAAAAAGGAGGGAGGGGTGATAAACCAAGATAACGAATGAAGAAAACTGAGCAGGAGACCTCAAAGGTGTCTTTACCAACAGGAATTCAGATGCAAGGAACAGACACAAACCTGTCTCAAATGTGACCTATGAGACAACAAAAAGTAACTTGAAGTCAGTTCTAAATAAAAAATGACAACCAAAATCCCAGAGAGTCTTAAATTATTTAATCCAGACATTATCTAACCCCTCGGATTTTTGTTTGGTGCTATGGTGTTCATCATTCTCCATCAGAATGAAATGTGGGACAAACACATTACTTGTTACAGAGAGCGTTTCAGAGCTAATTCATCCAGCAAGGTCAGGGTCAAAAGGCTATTTTGTTCACAAAATGTATTTCTTGATATGAAAAAACAACATGTCAAAGAAAGAATTAAAGCAACATATATTTTCAAATGATAAACAGAATCTCAAACTTTCAAGTAAGTACATCTTAAGATGCTGATGAACTTCAGAGATTCTCAGTGTTTTAAAACTAGGGATATTCTATTTCAGTAGTTATCAATCTGTTTTCTTCTGCTCATGAGGGACCAAACTGGAAGGTCTCTCAGTGTCTCCTTCCCCAAGCCTTTAATTGTTTAAGTATATCCAATGTCTAGGAAGGAATTATTAAAGAATTCTGTTTCTTAAAAAAATGTTTTGAAATAATGTATCCTTGTCAATTTGCAAATGAGAGCACCCAAAGCAGAGTAACCTCCCCCAGTCTGGCCATTCTCAGGGGTATCCTGCCCACTCACTGAGGCTTTGCCTATTTGATATTAGTTAAGCCCTCCCCCTCCTTTTGTATGATCTGGAAAAAATCTATTCTAAATCAAGTAATCACCAACTTCTGCTTCCAGGCCAACCTAAAAACTTAAAAAAAAACTTTACAAAGGAAGAATTTAAGACCTTCAAAATTATTTTAGAAGTACCAACAAGGTCTACCAGAATAAGACTGCTTCTTAAAGTAATGATGTTGGACTGACAATTTGCTAGACTAGTCAGACCTTCTAAAAACTGATACTAAAATTTGTTAAAATGTTCTAAGTATATACACATATGTAGTAGACAGAGTTATAAATTGACGGTTATAAGCAAATGTACAGAATGAAAATATGTACCATGAACTCAGTATTGATTTTTCCCACCAAAAAAAAAAAAATGTTAAGAATAAAATCATGATTTCCTGGTGAATATACAGGATAAAAAACAAGGAAAAAGTGTAGAAACAGACCACAAATTAAATAATAAAGGAAAAAAGAAAACACAAAATAGGATAAAGACAACTGCAGATAGGAGAATTTAACACTGGTGGCACATTTAAGATCAGATACTCTCTTTTCAACAAAATAAATTATTTGATAATATTCTCTGTTTACTAAAAAAAAAAGGCAAGCTTTTTCACTGGTGGCAGGTATAGATTTTAGTAAGTAATGATATCACTTGTCTATTTAACCATGAGTCTAGTGTCCTCTCATTAATCTTTGATACTCAATAATCTGAATAGAAAGACATGATGAATCAAAAAAACACACCAATTTTAAAAACAAAAATCCTTAAAAGCAATTCCAGCATCTAAATGGTAAACACAAAGTGAATTCCTAATCTGACATTTGACTTTTTTTTTTAATTCAAAGATAAATATGAATGACTCTCCTTATTTGTAAAAATGTGAACAATTAAAAACAGTACAACGACGGGGTTCTCACAAACCGTGCAAGTTGAATTTGAAATGTTCATCTGTTATAATATTCAGCTGTCAAGAGGAAGCAACTCAAAGGACATCACACAGTCTATAAACCAGCTCGAAGGAGCCATCCACACTTTGCCCTGACGAACCCTCTCTGGGTGATAATTAGACAAATTCTCATAAATGATATATTGGGTGCAGAAGCGCTGATCAGAATCAGGTCTGGCATGGTATGCGACTGTATTTATGGTCTGAGTCACGTCACTGTCTGGCTTGGGCCTTCTACTGAGGATCTGGCCCCCACCTGCAGTGACGAGCTTAATAAGGTTGTCCTTTGGATGGTGTTTGAAGGTTCCCCCCAAATAGAAGTAGCATCCATCAAACAGCTTTGGCAACTGAAATAATGAGAAAACATTTGTGAAAGGCAGATCAAAATACAGTATTTAAAAACAATGCATATGAATGAGGAAAATAAAAATACAGATTTGAGGATCCCTTACCTGAAACATTTGGACCAGAAACATTTCAGATCCAGAAAGTTTTAGATTTTGAAAAATTTGCATATACATGAGATATCTTAAGAATGTATAAAGCCTAAACACAAAATTCATTTATGTTTCATGTATACCTTTATGCACAAAGCCTGAGGTAATTTTATACATTATTTTCAATAATTTTGTGCATGCAACAAAATTTTGACTGTGTTCCGACTGTGACCTGTCACATGAAGGGTGTGGAATTTTCCACTTGTGGCATCATGTCAAAGCTCAAAAAGTTTTGGATTTTGGAGCATTTTGGATATTGGATTAGGGATGCTCAATCTGTAATAATTACGAGCAGCTATGAAGCTACTTAATGAGGTATTGGGATAAGCTATATTTCAAGCATACTAACTGGATCAAGAAAAATACTTAGGCAAACAAGGGCTTCCTATTTATAAGTTCTTCCCAAAGATTCAGTGCCTATCTCAGTTCCTTTTCACTCTTCTAAAATTTTAGATGTGCTTGGTATAAAGAAAAAAAACAAAACTGTTCTTCAAACTTTTTTCATCAGGATGTTTATGCTTATCTGGTGGGACTTAAAGCCCCCAAAATTCCTAGCTAATTTGAAACAGTCTTCAGATACACCAGGCTAAATGTAATTAATTTACAAGAGTAACATCTTTTCCATGAACCTTTATCCAATTCTGCCCATCCACATTCATCCCTACATATTACCAACCTAAGGTATTCAGGGCAGCCACGATGGGAGTGTGCCCTCCATGGTTCCAGAAATGTATTCACAGGGCACAACAGATTATTGTAGTGAAGCTAGAGGTCCAGTTAGCTATGAAACATACTTCTGTGTGCTCTTTGGAAATAAAAAAGTTTCATAATTCCCTTCTATGGAAATTGTCTGTCATTTCTAATATTATCTCTATCAACAGGATAATGCAATATTATCCATTAAAACTGCAATATGTGGCCATAAAGACATATGGTAACTAAATCCGAGCAGCAGCTGTAAGTCTTCTTTCAAGCTACTTCCTGTATCTGAGATTTACCTCAGATTCTGAAAGGTTTATGGGAATGTTCAAGATGCCAAAAATCCATTAACAGTATGAAATTATTACCTTCTGGATTTTATTGCTCATCGTGATCATCTTTCAGAATCAAGTGCTTGAAATAAGCACAATTAAAATTTTAATCAGTCACCTGTAGTTGTTGAAAGGGCAGAAGATTTTCCTGATGGTGATAATAATAGTATGTCATAATAAGAACAAGGAAAGTTGTATTAAAAGAAAAATACCAGCTGTTCTCTGTTGAGCCTGCTTCTCTGTGGACCTTCAGGAATTTCGTACTTTTCTTCCTGTTCACATACTTTTCTTTGTAGACATGCTTTTACCCCTGACAAAAACACAAGAATTAAAGCAAAATATTTATCAAGTGAGCATTATTTCTCTCATTAAAATTAAGCAATTTACCTAAGTGGTTTTTCTTCTTCATGGTAGTTTTTAGGTAGTATTCTAAAATACAAACAGAAACCTTACTTTATCCCAAAATAAAACATAATAAAACTGGTTTTCCATATAAACAGATGATTTAAAAAATTCTTTGGAGGATTAAACAATAAGTTAGTACTAAACACTAACTGTAATTTTAATTTCCTTTCTGAAAAACATAAGCCAGGATACTATTTCAAACACAAAAAAGTCTACATTTTCACTCATAGCAATTATCTAAAATTAAGGTGAATAAAAAGTCCACGATGCAGTCCTGCCCACAAGAACCTCAACTGGGCACTTAGCATCTACACTGATCTGCACTGCTCATTTTGGCAGTTATATGTCTAATCATCTGTTAAACTGTAAGTGATTTGACATCAGGGAATGTGCATGTAGCTCAGCTAGCCACACAACAGGGGCTCAACAGTGCTTGCTAAAATACACAAGCAGAGCCTGGGATATGTTTGGCATGTGACAGGTACACAATTGAGGTCGCCAGTCTAGAGATGATTTGGCTGGGCTTTGCAGGAAAAAAAGCATTCTTTTGATGGCTTAAGTCTGTTCACAGCTTTAGGTTAAAAAGCAAGAGCAATAGAGACAGCTCAGCCTGGCATGTTTAGAGTCATTCCACTGCCTGGCACCTGGGTGGGGAAGCCCAAAGTAGGGCCATTGGCTGGCAGCCAGTACCAATTGTCTCGTTAGGTTCTAGAAATGAAATGAATCCTCAGGATGCCCAGAACCCATCATAAAAGGCAGGACACGGTCAGCTTCAGCTAGAGACGACATCTGGGATATTGCCTGTCACCATCAACCAAGGGCATTGGTGGCATGGATATATATTTATCATGCTTCTGTTCTGATGTCACATAACTAAACTAAATTTGAGATTTGGAGTGGAAGGACTTGGCTATACCAAATACTTGTTCTGGAAGCTTCCTTGCCTATGGAAATAAAAAATGAAAACAATGTTTTTCACAGGGCTTCTGTGGATAAAATGCAAGAAGCGTTCTAGAAACTAGATACTATAATGAATTGTCATTACAAAAACAAATCCTACATACAATTTTTTTTATTTGTCTTTGAGACTGTTTTGCTCAATACCTCATTTTATCACTGAGGTAGGAACCATAATTATTCACTTATGCATTCTTCAGAATTTCATATACTCTCCCATAGAACAGGAGTTTTACAGCAGAGGGTACTGGCAAAGTGGGAACACCAACTCAGGTCTCTCCTTCACTGTCTAGTGTTGTTAACACAAAGGAAAAAAAGTTTTTTTAAAATTCACTAAGGACACAGCATTAATAGCCTATATCCACACCAATAAAAAAAATTATACAGCACCTGTAAGAGTTCAGAGTGTTACACATAATTTTGAATATCAAACTGTTATATCCTGTTATCACTTGGTATCTAATGGCTTAAAACCAGAAAAAAAATATATGGCTCTGTAAACATATACTATAGATTGAGGATTAGACATATATGTTGGAAATATACTACAGTGTTCTGGATACCTCTTGAAAAATGCTAGTGATAAAATTCTGTGCAGCTGATTCCTACTATTTCAACAGTAAAATGAGTCCAATACAGGAGTGGAACCCACTACTTGGCGTGTAAACTATGCATATGCCTGGAAAAGGGTTCCTTTTTTTTTCTGGAGACAGTCTTGCTCTATCACCAAGCTGGGGTGCAGTGGCACGAACTCAACTGACAGCAACCTCTGCCTCCCAGGTTCAAGCAATTCCTTTGCCTCAGCCTCCCAAGTAGCTGGGACTACATGTGCGTGCCACCACGCCCGGCTAATTTTCGTATTTTTAGTAGACAAGGGTTTCGCCACGTTGGCCAGCATGGTCTTGATCTCCTGACCTCATTATCCGCTCGCCTCGATCTCCCAAAGTGCTGGGATTACAGGTGTGAGCCACGGTGGCCAGCTTCGGGGTTCCTTTCTTAACTGAAGTGTGGCCAAGAACCAGCAGTTAATCTGCTACACAGAAATGTCTTGGGATTGCATCTGATATAAACATAGATTCATTTGTGTAGGAGTATAAAATGTCTCTTGACCTATAATGATTATCTTGACAGCAAAAACTTATACTGGAGAAGATAAACAAAATGCAATATTTTCCAAGAGTGAGTGACAGTCCACTTTAGACTGACACTTTATAGCATAACCAGTTTTAAACTTTCTTCATTATTACTCCAAACTGACACAATAACAAAACTCTATCTGTTTACAGGAGTCAATCTACAGAATTTGTTGTAAGTGACATAACTGAAAAAACTGGTACTTTCTGAGGAAAAAAAAAGTGTTTGAGCCCTGTTTATAAAACGTTTTTATTCTAATCTTGCAACTTAATTTTTAAAAATATCTAGCATCAAATTACTTGAGGTAGAAAAGGCCCTTGAAAGCTAGTCCTACTTTCTTGTTTTATAGATTTGCAAAGTCAGGTGAAAAACTATGAAGTGACTTACTAAGATCACTAACAGCAAAGCTTAAGTGAACCCCTTCCTAAAGCAACAGACTTCCACTTTGGTGATCTTCCTATATTATATTTACAGGCCAACATCTGAAATGCTTGGAACCAGAAGTGTTTTAAAATTCAACTGTTTTTTGGATTTTGGAATATTTGCACATATATAAGGAGGTATATCTTGGCAACAAGACCCAAGTCTAAAGAGGAAGTTCATTTATGTTTCATATAGGCTTTATACAGATAAAATTTTATACACTCTTTAATAAGTTTGTGCATAAAACAAAGTTTTGTCTGTGTTTAGACTGTGAGTCATCATGTGAGGCCATGTGTGTCGTGCTGGCTAGTATTTTAGAGCATTCTGGATTTTTAGATTAAGAATGCTCAAACTGTATTAAACACCTCTTATGTACAAAAGAGGCCATACTCTCTTCCCAAAGAAGAAAATTCCTGCTGTTTACTGTCATTTTGTTTCAATAATCTAACCCTGAACTTTCATTAAAATTACAATGCTCTATCTCAGACTGCTTAATTTTAAATAAAATTTTATTGCTTTCTTTTCCTCTATCAACAAGCAATTCATTATCAAATTTAATTTTTCAAGCACATTTGAAATTACATACATGTTTTAAAGATACTAAGGATGGCAATGAGATAATCTCATGTTATATATAATAGCAAAGAAAACTCCTTACTCCTGTCCAGAAATTCTAAGAACTTCATATTAGGTAAATTTCTGTTACAAAGTCAGTTAAAGAACAAAGGTTAATAGCTACACACAGACAAACATGAGAGGATTCATTTTTGAGATTCAGTTTTTCTCTCTTTTCCAATTTAAAATGGCTAACCTTTCAAAGAACAACAAATGCGGGAGCATATCTGACTGTCAGAAAGTTAATTAAATATTTTTATATTTCACATTTATTTCAAATGTTAAAAGAAAAGGCTTTTTGAATAAAAATGTTTGAATGCAAAGTTGTTTCTAAAAATAATGGAGGACCAATATATCTTAAATATTAGAAAAAAAGTCAAAAATTCTGGAAGTATTAATGATTTACATGTATTAGTGAAGTATTCAAAAATACTGATAAAGCAGGAAATAATACACAGCTAGAGTTTTAGTCATTTATAGTTCTTATATTAAATAAACATAAAATGGCAATATTAAATATGAAAAGAGAAAGCAGAGTATCATTAAGAAAATATGGAGTAAGTTGTTTCGCTGTTACTTCCCTGGGTAGAAATTGAACCTGAGTAGAATTTATCTGATTGTATATGAGTTTATTTTACACCTGTAAATACTATCATACAGAATTTTCCTCTTATAAATTGTCATTAATAGAGAACCATGATTGCAGTATCATTTTATAAAAACTATGAATGCCGTGTTACCTAATACTCATGCAATGAGCAAAGTACCTTATTACAGGTTAAATGTGTACAATGTCCAGTGCTCTGAAAGCTTCAATTTTTCCATTATTTAGAATAAAATATTCATAAATCACAAGGGCTAACCAATCCAATGCTAAAAATCACACACCAATATTTTCTGGTCAAAAGAGAAAAAGACATTCTTATTTTCCTCTGTCAACAAGGAATACCAATGTGTTCTATTGTAATAGAATACCAACGTATTCTATTTCATTTTCTTTTTACTTTTCTATCTTTAAATGACCTAGGACACAACTGTTTGTTCTAAGGAAAGATCCTGATAAAAATTACTGTGATAACAGCTACTAAAAGTACTTGTATCCTTCCCCAAATCCAAGAAGACTAGTATAGTCAATGCTCATTATCTGCAGTAGTTATGTTCTATAAAGATGCTGTGAACACCGAATTAGTGAATAATGAACCACTGCTGTTAAAGGAAATACAGGGTTAGGTTTCTGTGAGCCTCTGCTTCCAGCATTTTCATCAACTGATCAATACTTAACTTTGTTTTATGTATGTTTCTGTTTATACACATTATTGATTGTATACTGTTGACTCGGTAAGATTAAACTTAGGGCCAGCAGTACTACAACTCAGGCCTTGACAAAGCCTAGCTAACACAGTATTCAATATTTTCTCTGAAAGGCACACCACAATCTTCTTGAACTTAGGGACACACAATGGTATGTCAGCACTACAGAGCTATTTTAAACAATAAAAACAACAAAAACACAAAAATGCAAAAAATATGGCATCAATAGGCTGAAAGGGCCACTTGTTTACAGTGTGAGAGCTGAAAAAAGGAGACAAAGTATCACCTTGTTTGACCTCAGCTGGGGACATACTTCTTTGGCAACTAAAGTTCCTCACTACTCTGTACATGTCTACAAAAACACTGTGAGTGCTGATTTGGGGATTACAAAAAAATTTTCCCAAGTAAGAAAATTCACAAACACAGAATCCACAAACAATGAGGATTTACTGTATATTACTTCCA